CATCAGGTTTTACAGTGTTAGTTTGGGCTAAGCTCAGAATCTTTACAATGTCTGGCGCCGCCCTGTTGTCTAATATCAGTCTTCTGATGCAAATGGTTTTAATACACAAAAAGAGGAGTTCACCTTGCTGTGTGTCACACTCATATTTGGTGACACTGGCGTCATTACTTGTTACAGTCATCGTCACGGTGCAGTTGGCCTCCACTGCCTGCACAGGAACAGAGACAGTGATGACATTTTACTGTAGATACCTCACATCTCCATTACAGGAAAGAAGTCTTCACATCAGTATGTATGTAAATGTGACTGGCTGTTAAAGGAGAATTGGATTAAAGAAGCATTTACCCAATCAGGCTCCGTACGGGTCTGACAGTCTTCAAAGTGTTTGGGGTTGACTGTGTGGCACGTTGTCTCCAGAAGGCGCAACTTCAGCTCAATGTTACAGCCTTCATTAACCTGGAAACAACAGAGAGTAAATCGCAATTACTCAGGTATAGGGTAATGTAGTATGTAATGTAATGTAGTAATGTAGCTTGTTTTTTCTAAACAGGCATTATCTAGTACAACACCATATTTACTAATGTATTTATTCGATAGGGACAGATACAGTATAGTCTACTGAGAGAATTGCATTACAATTATCCAATACAACATATCACACCATTTATAGCTGTATATACAACTAATTGGTTGAAGTTGAATTCGGAAGGGTTTTGAAAAAAAAACAACTGGCTAATAACTTATAAAGGTGAATATGAGCAGAGGCGAAGACAGAAATGTAACTGGTTATTTATTTATTTACACATATGATTGTATGTTCAAATATGTGTAAGTCACTTGCTGAGGGTAGCAGCAGAGGACCATTTATAAATGAGTTATTCCCTTAAAAAATCGTCTTACACAGTCCTGTGTAGAGCAGTCAGACAAATATGTGAATAATGTAATCTTTAGGGACTTGTTAATGTTAACACCAGAATCAAGCTCAAATATCCTTTATATGGTGTATGGTGTACTATTCTTTGAATAATATTTAAATGTAATTGTGTCCCTTTGCTGGACCTATTAGCAGAAAATGTAAATGCATGCATTTACTACTTATTTCTGGTTCCCATACCTTTTCCACTTTGTTGCCTTGGACCTCATTGAGTCTGAACTTATAGCCATGCTCATGGTTCTCATTGATGTGATGCATTGCCAGACGTGCCGCAGCTGCACCACTATCCTCACTGCATGTTACCGGCTCCAAAGCTGGAGCCGCGCTGAACAGCTGCACTGCTGAGGACAGCAGCACCAGGATGGGTAATGCCTTCATAGTGTAGAGGAAAGAGATAGATCTGTTCACTGCAGCCAGGGACATTATATAGACATGGAAAGGTTAACAATCCATAGAAGGAGACAGTGGCAAACAGGAGGAGAGATAAAGGATATGAGATCAGACACACAACTAGGTAGCATGAGAACAGAACCACAGAAGCTGGCCAACGTCAAACATCAAACAGAGACTTTAACCTTGACAGTGCAGCTTGTTTTGAAATGTCAATTGAAACTATCAGTTTCATCATAGTTTTTATACTCTTGACCTGTTTCTGGAACTATACAAACTGTTCTACTGAAGCAAATTTAATGAGAGAAATTGTCAGCTTCATCATAGCTTCATAATATTTCATACTGAAAATACT